GGGATGCCACCAGCTGGGATGCCACCAGGACCAGGGATGTCACCAGCTCCAGGGATGCCACCACCAACTGGGATGCCACCAGCTGGGATGCCACCAGGACCAGGGATGTCACCAGCTCCAGGGATGCCACCACCAACTGGGATGCCACCAGCTGGGATGCCACCAGGACCAGGGATGTCACCAGCTCCAGGGATGCCACCACCATCCGGGATGCCACCAGCTGGGATGCCACCAGGACCAGGGATGCCACCAGCTCCAGGGGTGCCACCAGCTGGGATGCCACCAGCTCCAGGAATGCCACCACCAACTGGGATGGCACCAGCTCCAGGGATGCCACCACCAACTGGGATGCCACCAGGACCAGGGATGCCACCAACTGGGATGCCACCAGCTCCAGGGGTGCCACCAGCTCCAGGAGTGCCACCGGGACCAGGGATGCCACCAGGACCAGGGTTGCCACCAACTGGGATGCCACCAGCTGGGATGTCATCAGCTGGGATGCCACCAGGACCAGGGGTGCCACCAGCTGGGATGCCACCACCAACTGGGATGCCACCAGCTGGGATGCCACCAGGACCAGGGATGTCACCAGCTCCAGGGATGCCACCACCAACCGGGATGCCACCAGCTGGGATGCCACCACCAACTGGGATGCCACCAGCAGCTCCAGGAGTGCCACCAGGCTCAGGGATGCCACTGGCTCCAGGAATGCCAGCACCAGCTGGGATGCCACCAGCCCTGGGGATGCCACCACCAACTGGGATGGCACCAGCTCCAGGGATGCCACCAGCCCAGGGGATGCCACTGGCCCCAGGGATGTCACCAGCTCCTGGGTTGCCACCACAACTGGTGCCCACCGTGCTGCCACCAGCTCCGGGGATGCCACCAACCATGGGGATGCCACCTCCATCCGGGATGCCACCACTCTCTGGGATGCCACCAGCTCCAGGGATGCCACCGCCCATGGGGATGCCACCAGGTGTAGGGATGCCACCAGCCCAAGGGATGCCACCACCACCGGCTCCAGGGATGCCACCAGCTGTGGGGATGCCACCACCACCACCATCTGCAATGCCACCGACCCAAGGGATGCCACCACCACCATCTGAGATGCCACCAGCCACGGGGATGCCATCAGCTCAAGGGGTGCCACCACCTGGGATGCCACCACCATTTGGGATGCCACCACCAGCTCCGGGGGTACCACCAATCATGGGGATGCCACAGGTCCCAGGGATGCCACCACCATCTGAGATGCCACCAGCCACGGGGATGCCATCAGCTCAAGGGGTGCCACCACCTGGGATGCCACCACCATCTGGGATGCCACCAGCCTTTGGAGTGCCACCACCTGGGATGCCCCAACCATCTGAGATGCCACCAGCCTTTGGAGTGCCACCACCTGGGATGCCCCAACCATCTGAGATGCCACCAGCCTTTGGAGTGCCACCACCTGGGATGCCCCAACCATCTGAGATGCCACCAGCCTTTGGAGTGCCACCACCTGGGATGCCCCAACCATCTGAGATGCCACCAACCTCTGGAGTGCCACCACCTGGGATGCCACCACCATCTGGGATGCCACCAGCCTTTGGAGTGCCACCACCTGGGATGCCCCAACCATCTGAGATGCCACCAACCTCTGGAGTGCCACCACCTGGGATGCCACCACCATCTGGGATGCCACCAGCCTTTGGAGTGCCACCACCTGGGATGCCCCAACCATCTGAGATGCCACCAACCTCTGGAGTGCCACCACCTGGGATGCCACCACCACCATCATCTGAGATGCCACCAACCCTGGGGATGCCACCACCCCCAGGGATGCCACCACCCCCCTCTGAAGCCCCCTCCCC